GGCTTTGGGGGTCTAGGATGAGAAAGCTTTGCAGTTGGAGAGCTTTGGCTGCAAGATTTAGGGTCAGCCGGGTTGACCGGTATCCCACGCATAAGAAGGTTACCACTTTTGTATACTATTCAGGTTTCAATACGGAAACCCCGACACAACAGTGTACAAGGGTACCATATTGCGACCTACATTAGTCCTTAACCATTCGCATGTTCTAGGATTGCGGGAGCTGCTTGCAGGAGCACCCACAGCACTAAACCCGAAACCCTAAAGGGCTTAGGGTTTAGGGTTTAGGGTAAATGATCATGATACTTTCAAAAATAATCAGAACACCAGTAGTCATAATAACGAATTTTAATGGTCATGGTGATTCTAACAGTTATAATAACAGTAATAACAAAATAATAAGAATGACAATTTCATAATAACAGTCGACGAAGTATCCTGAAGATGTGTGCTGGACGACGACTGACGTCCCCAAACCCTGTCTCAGCCTACTGTCGGGCCTTTACTGCGGAAGGTGGTTTGGCATGATGGGGCTCAGGGCTTTAGGGTTTAAGGTTGGGTTTAGCGAGAGGGCAGCCTACTCAGTGCATTTCCCATGTCGGGCTGCGCCGACTACAAACCTTCGCGCCGTCTGCATCAACTCTACCGAGGCATGCGCAGGACGAAGATGAAGAGCCACGGCACCGCTTTGATGCCGCTCCTTGGCCCGAAGCAAGGCATTCAATCTTCAAAACTGAGTAAACCCCTAAACCCTAAATCCTAAACACAAAGAAACCCTAAACTCCAAACCCTAAACCCTAAACCAAAAGCTGAGCCCGGGAGATGCAAAAAGCAACGCCTGAACAACTCTAATATAGGGGCCTTAATCATTAGAATAGGGTTTTGGGGTTCCTTTAAAGGGTTCCTCAAGAGGTTCTATGAGGGCTACTAAGGGTTTAGGCTTTAGGGGTTTAGGGCCTGGCAGGGATAGCGGCCTTAACAACTCGAATAGGGTGTTGGAGTACATTATACTATAATTATAATAAGGAACCCCCAAAATAGTATAGGTAATTTTTCAGGCCCCTACATTAAACCACCACCGCACCAGCGCAGCTTAGAATCAACCTTCCCCCTGCGGAGGTGCGCACAAAACCGGACCGTCGCCAAGATTTCTTTGGAGCTGCAGACACCGCAAACCACTCAACCAAGGCAAGTATGACTCGGATTCTGCTTTGGTTTATTATACAGCATCCTATTCTATTCTTAGTTCACTATTATATTTTGATCTTTTGTTAGGACTTAGGGTTTAGGTTTATACTTTTCACACCGGCAAAGTAGAAATCGCTTGAGTGTCTCTGCTCTGGCTGTTGGGTCTACTGAATTCTTTCGAGCTCTTGGCAGACGGGCGACACGCAGACAGGCTCTCCAAACATAAGTTGTCTCGCCACAAGGCTCATTTGGTGTGTCACTGTTGATCTCTTTGATGCAAGTACTCAACACTAATCCCGGCCTCAATTACACTCATGGTGCAGCATGAAACGTGCTCTTGCACCTTTATCAAACGTGCTCTCGCACCTTTACCAGTGGTCGCAGTGCCGACTTTGGGGGGATGGTGCTAATGTCGGAGCGATAATAATTAGAACAGGGTTTTGTGATAATTATGGTATGATATGCCCTCAAACCCAGTTCTAATATGTAAGGCCCCTATATTACTTCAGGGCAGTCAGTCTAGGCGAGTGTTTAGGTTCGAGGCTTCAGGGCGCAGTAAGACTCAGGCTTCTAGAGTCTAGGGTTTAGAGTTTAGGGTTTATATCGCTCCATAAGGCTCTGGATAATGTGGCTTAGGATTCTATACTATACTGGCTTGCAAGTTTCGGGGCCGTTGGTTAAAGTATGAATAGGTACCTCTATAGCAGCCATAGAGGGAAAATGACAAAATTCCCTAGGTGCCACCGAGTGACATAATAAAGGCTTCCGGTCTCGATCCCTGAACCCTGAACCCTGAACCTCTAAACCCTA